TTTATTATTATTTTTAGTATTCTATTACTTATTAATTAAATTACCTAATATAATTTTAATACAACCTTTTACATATATACTTAGCCACAAGTTATTATTGAATCTACATCGTGAACTACTACTACTAGAAAGACTGCAATTTCTGAAACTTCAAGTTTGTAAAATAGTGTTTTCTGGTCCTTTTTTTTTTTTTAACCTATTACTTTATATTTTTATTTAATAGCTCGAGCTGCTATCGATCCGCACATTATAAACAAGGTTCTAAGCATCATACAGGATAACTCGGTAAAGCTTGACCAGCTTTCAAAGCATTGCGCAAAGCTGGAGTATTTAATTAAGGAGCAACAAACGCAGCTTGGAGAGGTTTTAAAAAAATTCAACAAAACTGACGAATAGAATCAAAAAAAGGCAACGGAAAAAAGCCTTTGAAAAATAAAGAGGGTATATGTTTTCAAGTATGTATACATATTTATTTATAATAATAGTTTGTCATTTATTTATACGTATCACTATGCATATTACTATATATATTATATATCATATTATATATAGAATGCAGCCCAAAAATTGGCAAATAATTTATTCCATAATCATAAGCAAATTAGTGATGAACAAATAAAGGAGCAGCTTAAAGCATTGTTGGAAAATAATAAAGAATGTTTAGAAAAACTACAAAAAATAAAAGACAAAGGAGTGTCATTTAACAAATTTTGGAGTGAAAACCTTTATTCTGAAGTACTTACTATCTTTGGTTAATTTACTTACATGACGCAAGGAAAACTTGCAATTCTATATTAGAATTGCAAGTTTTCCTTGTGATGCTTATATATAATTATTAAATATTAATTGTATTTTATTTATTTAATTAATTTATACAGATGCTTGCAGCAATATGGCTTAAAAAAGGGTATTATATTCGACGTGTGAAAGAAGGTTTATGGAGCACCTTTGGTGTTAATCGAATAAAACTGTTTAGCAAAAAAGACTCAAAAGCACAAATGTTAAAATGGAAAAAAAATTCTAAAAAGGCGTACAGTGACTTATACAACCCTTGTGATCCAGATAATCTGAATTCTAAAACATTTCTGTCTTTAATTATTAAGTATGTTTTTGTTTCCAATGATGAACGTACACAAGCTAATGTGGTTTGGACACAAGCTGTTTTAGAAACTGTATTCGATGAGAAATATCTTTCTCCAAAAATTGATGCAGATTATGTCAATACATGAATTCAAAAGCTGTCAAACAATGAGAAAGAAAAGGATAATGAGAATGTATGTATATTGTTTATTAATGAGCTTACCAATTTTTTTGAACACAT